GTAGAGGGCTGCAAATTTTTTCCTATACTCGTCACTTACGGCCAGTGAGCAGGGAGGGATCTTTTTCATGCCAGCAATTACTGCACTCAGTTTATACGGTCTCATCTAAAGGACCGGTCTATACGTCCGACAGTGGGATTCAAACCAGAAAGATCAACTCCTTTTTCAAAGGACTGTCTCACGTACCACAGTGGGATTCAAACCATAAGGATCAACTCCTTACTTTGTGACTCTGGAGCAGACGGTCTAACCACTGTGCCACTTGAGAGACCTTTTTGAGATGGAATGGTGGTGCATAAGAAGAAAAGATACATTTTTTTTTCTTTTTGTAGTTCAAAAGTACACTGTTTCAAAGTCATTACACTATATATCTTCTCAGATGGCTGTACTTCAAAGAAGAAAAAAAACTCTTTAACTTGTAATATTTTATTTATTCTCATGATGAGGAATCGAAGTAATAATTATATCATTTATATGAGATTCAATAAGTTTAATAATTAGATATCACTGTCATTTCACTTTAATACTCTTCAAGTAAAATGCAATTAAAAAAAAGTTCTCAGGTTTATAAACTTTTGTTTATTTATTTTTACACTGTAAAACTTACATTATTGTTTACTGGCTGAATATGCTTAAAAATAGCCATACAACTCAGAACATTTATATTTTATTGCTTACTGAATGTGATATCAAAAAGAATCAATTAAATTTAGACAATATTAAAGATATTCAAAACTCTGAAAAGCTTCTGAAACTACTGTCATTGATCTTTAAAACATTGTCACTGATCCTTAACACAGAGTAACAGATTATTCACGCACAATCACAGATCCTAAACAAAGGTCAAGGATCTTTAACACATAAGACAAGGTCACAAATCTTCAACACAAGGTCACAGATCCTTAATGAACACAGGGTCACTAATCCTTAAAACAAGGTAACAAATCCTTCATAATAATGCAGGGTTATAGATCCAGAACACAATGACACAGTTCTGCATGTATTGCACAGCTTGCTTTGTTTCTATGTTAACTACAGTTGATTCAAAGGATATCACTTTTTCTACCAAAGAAGGAAAAGTGTTAATTAGTTAATTTAATTACAATGGAAAGTCCTCAAAACCATCATCACACTAATTTCTTTGATGATATAGAATTTATATACGGTATAAAAATTATATCTCACCAAAATTTTCTTGAATTCTAACATTAGCAGCTGACATTCCTCAGATCATATTGTAGTCAAGACTCATCTTCCCTCTGTTAATGAAAAAATGTCAAGAATCTAAAAAGTACAGTCATTTTAATTTTTAATTGTGGTCAAAATACCCATGTTTATTACATTTTTTTTTTTACTGTTTTGACTCCAAGATGCCCCAGAGCAGAGAATTTTAAAGAATTTTTGTATTTTTACCAAAAAATATCAATAAAGTATCAATAAAGAATCCTGTCCAGAGATAATGAAATTCATGATTTTGAAAGAGGCACCATTGTTCATCTTAACCAAATACTTAAGCTTATATCATCACCTTTATACCCAGGAGCAAAGAAGATTTTCAAAGAAATAATGTACTTTCCCTACATGAACCAAAGAATCCTACTGTAGTAGTTGAACCCCTGACCCTGGGACCACTAATTTTAAATATCTGGTTGACGGCTTAATTAAAAGTATGTGCAGTATGGTATTATATAACCTGTTTGAAAAGTTTCATTGAAAGTCACATGATTATAAAGGGTATAAATTGTAAGGTCATGCAGAAGCATGGCACTCTAAGCTCACTCCCTAGGATATAGATATTTTAGTATGGCTGATAGTGATACAATTGAGTGCAATGAATTTGGCCTATAATATTTAGGAATGATCATGTGTTCGCAGTATAAAAATGTATTAAAGCACTAGCGAGCAGCATTCCTATGTGTTGTGATTTATTCATTTAGCACTTCATTGATTTATATTGGGAGGAACGAAGTGTGGGAGAATATACCAGGGTAATGCATGCTACAATCATGCCATAGCTCAAAGTCCTAAAGTAAAGATGAAAACTTTTAATGATTGAAATAATCTTGCTTGTTTTAACCCTACTCCTCAGTCCCTAAGAAAGCAGGGAGCATAACATTCTAAAATTTTGTTTCCATAAGTGCTACATAAAATTGCATATTAAGGCACAATGAACGTCGGCAGACAAAACAGGAAGTGTTGCAGTCTACATCAGTGAATCAAATGACCTAACAAGATGAAAAAAATTGCATTTATATGTACTAGTAATTCTTTCTTACCCTGACTCAAAGGATTGGCTGCAGTCTATGCCATCAGTATATATTTTTCAAAGGGAGATAGAAGGCTGCATGTCATTGCATCTCTAAAAGAGAAAAAAAAACATGAAAACTTTTCAATAGGGATGACAATCCTCATCTTTGAGAAAGAAATCCACACAAGACAGGTAGTAAAACTTGAGTCTTACCCTCTTTTCAATGGTTGAATTAAGTCAATCCCTCCTCACAAGAATCCTCATCATGGAGTTGTATATCATAGTGGGACTGAGGGACACCTAACCAATAATAACATAAAGAAAGAAACCCCCTTGAATAAAAAAAAATAAATAAATAAACAAGAGGTCCACGGGCCTTATAGGTCACCTGAGTATCGTGTAACATCTTTCAACCAATCAAGATTGGTTCATGTTTTAAACCAGAGGCCATGAAATTCACAAATCACAATTTTGAAAGAGGCACCATTGCTTACCATAATTATAAAGTTAGCATAATACATTACTTAATACCCAGAGGTAGATCAGAGTAACAAAGAGAAAATGCACTTCCACTTTATAACCAGTTTTTCACCTCAACTCAAAGCAACCACTGACCCTGGGTCCACATATTTCAAAATTTTGCAAATTTTATCATAAAATGGTTGATTAATACTAAAGAGCAGATTTCAAGGCATTAATTTATTTTCAGACTGTAACCCCCCCCCCCCCACCCCCTCCAATCAGGGGGCATAAAAATAACCATTTTGCTAGATGCACTTTTCTTCATCATAAATATATACATATTTACTTGGATCACTGGCATAAGACCCAGGAGCAAAGGAAAAGATTTTTAAAGAATTAATGCATTTTCACTATATAATCAATAGAGCCACATCCTAACACCAGAACCCCTGACCCTGGGGCCACAAAATTCATAATTTTGGAAGTGGCACTCTTGCTCATCATAACTATGTACTTTAGTTAGTTTATTTAATATCCAGAAGCACAAAAGAAGATTTTCAAAGATTAAATGCATTTTCACTATATGATCAATAGAGCCCCACCCTAACACCAGAACCCCTGACCCTGGGGCCATAAAATTCACAATTTTGGAAGTGGCACTCTTGCTCATCATTACTATCTACTTAATTAGTTTATTTGATACCCAGAAGCAGAGCAGAAGATTTTCAAAGAATTAATGCATTTTCACTATATAATCAATAGAGCCCCACCCTAACACCAGAATCCCTGACCCTGGGGCCATAAAATTCACAATTTTGGAAGAAGCACTCTTGCTCATCATAACTATGTGCTTAGTTAGTTTATTTAATACCCAGAAGCAGAGAAGAAGATTTTCAAAGAATAAATGCATTTGCACCATATAATCAATAGAGCCTCGCCCTAACACCAGAACCCCTGTCCCTGGGGCCATAAATTTCACAATTTAGGAAGAAGCACTTTTTCTCATCATAACTATGCACTTAGTTATTTAATTTGATACCCAGGAGCAGAGAAGAAGATTTTCAAAGAATTAATGCATTTTCACTATATGATCAATAGAGCCCCACCCTAACACCAGAACCCCAGACCCTGGGGCCATAAAATTCACAATTTTGAAAGTGGCACTCTTGCTCATCATAACTATGTACTTATTTAGTTATTTCATACCCAGAAGCAGAGTAGAAGATTTTCAAAGAAATAATGCATTTTCACTATATGATCAATAGAGCCCCGCCCTTACACCAGAACCCCTGACCCTGGGGCCATGAATTTCACAATTTTGGTAAAGGACTCAATGCTCATTACATTCATGCCAACAGTTTGCCTGTTTGATGTTCAGGAGTAAAGAAGAAGAATTTTAAAGATTGCAATAATTTTGATGGTTTTTGCCCCACCCCTCAGGCCCCAGGGGGGCTGGGACCATAAAATTCACAATTTTTGTTCCCCTTCACCCATAGATGCTGTATATCAAATTTGGTTGAAATTGGTTCAGTGGTTTCAGAGAAGAAGCTGAAAATGTTCAAATGTTAACACAAGACGGACGACGCACGACGACGGACGAAAATGGATAGCAATAGGTCACCTGAGTTACTCAGGTGACCTAAAAAGGGATCCAAAAGTTCGATTCAAGCAATTTAATACTTACAAATATTGCAAATGTTGTTTATTGGACATAGCTGGGCAATGGACTCCTCTTCTTCTCTCTTCTTCTTCTGTCCTCCTCTTCATCTGTCATCCTCTTCTGTAGGTTACTCCTCTTCTATTCCTCTTCTTCTGTCCTCCTCTTCTTCTGTAGGTTACTCCTCTTCTATTCTTCTTCTGTAATCCTCTTGTTCTGTAGGTTACTCCTCTTCTTTTGTCCTCCTCTTCTTTGGTAATCCTCTTGTTCTGTAGGTTACTCCTCTTCTTCTGTCCTCCTCTTCTTCTGTAGGTTACTCCTCTTCTATTCCTCTTCTTCTATAGGCCGGCCATAATCTTCCTCACCACATTTGAATGGGAAAGAAAGCACACCTCATCATAGGGCTTCACTCTCATTATGCATCAAGAAACTTTACGTCATTTCTGCAAAGCAAAATCAAAACATTAAAGAATCATGCAGACTTCATATCAAGTGATTCATCAAGTGCATAGAGCAATAAAAGGTTCACACTTATTGACACCATCGCAGAACTCTTGTCGGCAGGGGACAGTCTGCTCTTCCTTCTGTGGAACCAAGCCAGTCTGACCCGTACCTCTTAACAAAGATGTCGCAAAGGTCAAAACCAAAGTAACACTCCACCAAAACGGAATGAGTAACAAAATGCACAGAGTTCATGATGCACACAAAGTATGTCTTCAGAACTTGGGTCGGCCACACTACATCCAGGAGGTCTTAGTTTGCACTCCTTCAGCCAGGACTGAGTGCTCACTTCCTCTGGGAATCCACAACATCTTGACCTGTTAACACCAAAGGCGGAGAAGTCAAACAACCGTGCAAAGACTGATGGTAAGAAGAGATAAAGACAGAGATAGCAGACAGGGTATGAGGCTTGCACAAAGTATCCCACCAACCTTGGGTTTGCCGCAGTTGACCCCTGAAAGCTCAGCACTCTTGCTTTTCAGCTGACAGTCTGCTCTTCAGAGCTGGAGATAGAGGACTGCATTACACTGCATCTCTACAGCACAAAGACCAGACATCAATAGAGGTCACAATCTTCATTGTGTGAGAATGAGAACAAAATTCAAAACAGTTTGTACAGCTTTAAACCTGAATCTTACCCTCTCTTCAATGGTTGGCTGCAGTCCATCCTTTCTCACTGACGCTTGCCAAACCATTTTCCTGGAAAAAAAAGAAAGTAGGGAGGTCAAACAAGCACTCTTGCTTCTTTCGTCCACTTGTAAGTAGAAAATAGGGATGCAAAAAGAGCTTCAAAAGCAGCTTGTTACTTACCGCTCAGGCCAATGTTAGAGGGTCTGCATAATTGGACAATGGAATCTTCATCTGTTGGCCGGCCTTGTTCCCCAGCGTCGTACCACGTCCGAGTCTCTGAAAATACACAACTGACACAAAATTAGTACAAATTCAAAACAAACACATAAATCGAAAGAAATTCATCAACATTACAACAAAGTTAATGGAAGAAGAAGCTTGTAGATCAAGACAGTTACAATGTGGAAGGGCATAAATGAATTTAGGGGTTGGGATGGTTAGTACTGTTAGATTAAGGGAAGTGGATGGGAGACAGGAAAGAGACAGAAAAGAATAAATTCAAAATCTTCTCTATTAGCCTTCTTGGTGGCAGAATAGGATCCTGCTCCCTGCCACTTTTGCTGGGCTCTGCTGGGCTGGGCTGGGCTGCTCGCCTTGCTTACTGTCAATTGAGAGTCAAGAGGTCACAAAATGATGCATCAACATTACCCTAAATCTGGAAATTTTTATGTCGATTTCATTTTGCGAATCTGGGTCAAAATGCTATTGATTAATTTTTACGTTTCAAAATTTTGCGAATGACCTCTAGTTTGTTTGTTTACATTTTCTTACTGTTAGGATATTGAATTATTTTTAAGAAAAATATTTTTGGGAATGCATTGAACTCACGAATTTGCTAAAAATTTATCTACAGCTAAAATTTTCAGATTAACGTTAAAAGAGAAGAGACAAATCTCATCCAAGTTTGCAAGAAGTAGAGTTAAAATCTTACCACATCATCTTCTGATGGCTGCAGTTGGCATCCATGATGGAGAAAACCTCCTACTCTTCTGTTGCTAAAAAAGGCAAAAGCAGGACATCAGAGTAACTTCAAAGTGTTACCAAAAATTCTCCAAGTGCAATGTTCAGATGTCTTCAATAAAACAGGCACAAAGTAATGAATTAGTACAGCGACTAAAATGTACACATTGTATCTTACCCTCATGTCTGGGATTGGCCGCAGTCCCTCGGCAGGAGACAGTCTGCTCTTTCTTTTGTGGAACCAGGTCAGTCTAACCTACATCTGTTAACAAATATGTTGTATACGTCAAAACCAAAACAACACTCTCCCATCACAGAATGAGTAACAAAACTGCACAGAGTGCATGATGCACACAGGACATGTCTTCTTACCTTCAGAGCTTGGGTCGGTTGCACTACATCCAGGAACTCTTAGCTTGCACTCCTTCTGCCAGGCCTGAGTGTGCACTTCCTCTGGAAATCCACAACATCTTGACCTGTTAACACCAAAGGTGGACGAATCAAAAAACCATGCAAAGACTAATGATAAGAAGAGATCAAGATTGAGATAGCACAAAGAGTGTCAGGCGTGCACAAAGTATCTCACCAACCTTGGGTTTGGCACAGTTGACCCCTGAAAGCTCAGCACTCTTGCCCTTAAGGTGACTATTTGCTCTTCAGAGCTGGAGATAGAGGTCTGCATAACCCTGAATATCTACAGTACAAAGACCAGACATTAATAGAGTTCAAAATCTTCATTATGAAGGAATGAGAAAAAAATTTGTTTGTAAACCTTTAAACCTGAATCTTACCCTCTCTTCAATGGTTGGCTGCAGTCCATCCCTGCACTCCAGAATACTGCTGTACGTCACAGTGGGACAGATGCTTGCCTAACCATTTTCCTGAAAAACACAGAAATTAGGCAGGTCAAACAAGCACTCTTGTTGCTTTCATCAAGTTATAAATAGAAATAAGAGATCCAAAAGAGCTTCAAAAGCAGCTTCTCACTGACCTTCGGCCATGTGGGCCGGTCTTCATAACTGGACAATGGAATCTTCATCTGTTGGCCGGCCTTGATCCTCCAGCGTCGTACCACGTCCCAGTCTCTGAAAATACACAACTGACACAAAATTAGTACAAATTCAAAACAACAACAACACTACAACAAAATTAGTGAAAAAAGAAGCTCATCCGGGAAGGACATAAAGGAGTTTAGGGGTTGGGATGGTTAGTGATGTTAGATTAAGGGGAGTGGATAGAAGACAGGAAAGAGACAGAATAGAATAAATTCAAAATCTTCTCTATTAGGCATCCTGGTGACGGATTTGGGTCCTTCTATCTGCCACTTCTGTTGCACTCTGCTGGGCTAGCTGGGCTCTACTTGGCTGGGCTCTGCTGGGCTGGGACTGCTCGCCGTGCTTCCTGAATTGAGAGTCAAGAGGTCACAAAATGATACGTTAACATTAATTGTCAAGAGTAAAAGCTCATCAAAGTTTGCAACAAGTAGAGTTTTAATCTTACCGCATCTTCTTACGATGACTGCAGTTGGTGTCGGGTTGGGGAAAACCTCCTACTCTTGTGCTAAAAAGGGAAAACAAGACATTTCATTAAATTCATAGTGTTATCAAAATTCTCCCAGTGCAAAGCTCAGATGACTTTTATAACACAAGTGCAAAATCCATTATGAATGTGCACAGAGTGCAAAATGTACACATTGCATCTTACCCTCACGTCTGGGATTGGCCGCAGTACGTCGCAGAATTCCTGTCGGCAGGGGACAGTCTGCTCTTTCTTCTGTGCAACCAGGCCAGTCCTACCAAACCTGTTAACAAAGATGTCACATACGTCAAAACCAAAGTAGCACTCTCGCAACACAGAAGAGTAACAGAGACCAACAGAGTGTCAGATGTACACATGGTATGTCTTCTTACCTTCACAGCTTGGGTCAGCCGCACTTCATCCAGGAACTCTTTGCACTCCTTCTGGCAGGTGCGAGTGCCCACTTCCTCTGGGAAACCAGAACATCCTGACCTGTTAACACCAAAAGTGGACACGAGTCAAACCTCTGTGCAAAGACTAATGAAGTGAAGAGACAAAGATCGAGACAACAAATAGAGCGCCAGGCCTGCACAATGTATTTTACCAACCTTGCGTTTGTCACAGTTGACCACCGAACTCTCAGCACTTACGCTTTTTCAGCTGACAGTCTGATCTTCAGAGCTGCAGTTAAAGGGCTGCATTAGGCTGCATCTCTACAGTAGAAAATCAAGACATCAAGAGAGCTGACAATCTTCTTGGAGTCAAAATGACAACACAAATCAAGACAGTTAATTGGTTCCAATACTTTTGTATCCAGTCCCCTTGTAGTGATCCATGAAGTTAATTATTTTAATCAGTAGTACTAGTCTTTTGTTCATTTCAATATGTTAAGCTTTGCTCCATGAAGCTACTAATTTAAATCAGTTTTATTATTTTGGTTACAATTCATTTGTCTCCAATGGCCTAGCTTCCATGAAGCTACTTATTTAAATCAGTAGTACTGTGTTGGTTCCAATGAATATCCTGCTGTGCTTCCCAAGGAACTAAAAGAATTGACAAGTATTTGAGTTACATCCTTTAGTTTAATTGGCCAGAATTTCTGTGGAAGGAATAAAATGAATGGCTAGAACAAGATTAAATTGATGTGAAAGAACAGAATCCCACAAATGATCCATAAGTCAAAGAAGAATCTTCTATGGAAGTGGCAACATTTAAAATTGAATTCAACAAAGCAAAGATGGAATTTTATTTTCTAGATTACTTCTCTGCTTTGAAAAGGATTAAGAAAATTAAAGCCTGGATTTTGCATGCTAAGAATAGATTGTAAAACTTTGCAATTGCAACAGGAACAGTCAGGGAATGTTTGAAAAATAAGGCTAATTAGTATACAATTTTTCAGCAAAATATAATGCTTTATTTCTGAACAATGAACAGAATAATTTGTTAAGGTCATTTCTTCAATTTGTCAAGAGATCATTGCCATTCAGGGAGACATCCATGCTATGTTTTATTAAGTGTTTGTTCCAGAAGTTGATAGAGACTTTTCTCTCTTTTCTATGGTGGGAAAATCAGAACATAAAGTTTGACCCAAAAATGAATCCAGATGAAGGTGCATATCTTTGGTGCTACTTCTTCACCAACTTGTTGCAATTATAGTCTTTGAATTACATGGTAACAGAAAATATTCAGAACTACAAACCCTCTACAGTAGAAGCAGTTCATTGAAGATGACTGTCTGGAATTATTGAGTACAGACTAAGAAGCAGAGATATTTGTCAGAGAAATATCATTCCTCTTTCAGAAAAGAGGTTCTCACTGGAACAAGTGAATTAGCAATAATGTAAAAGTATTAAAGAGACTTTTCCAAATCAAGATTCTGGTTTATTGAGTTGAGATTGTGGATATTTATCAAAGGGCAACTAGCTATATGACAAGGAATTCTTTCCATTGTAAGCTCAGTGTATGATTCTCTTGGATAAGCATCTCCCATTTAAATAAGTGCCATGATTTTGTTACAAATGTAATGAAGGTTTGGAGTACATGGAGATGAGTGTTGAAGACTATAACATTGCTAAGAAAGCTGTAATAAGGGTAAAGTTATCCATTATTGTTTCAGAAAAACTGGATCAAGTGTGAGTGCATTGAAATACATAGACAACACAAGTTTGCTATTTCTAACATTTCTCTCAAATTCCCTTGTTGTAATCCATGAAGTTTCCAATTTGAATTAGTAGAACTAGGTTTGTTCCTATACAGTTGTCTCCAATTGCATAGCTTTGAGCTGTTAAGATACTAATTTGAATCAGTAATATTTTGTTTGTTCCAGTACATTTGTTTCCAATCTCAATGCTGTGTTCCGTGAAGTTACTAATTTGAATCTGTAGTATTATTTTGGTTCCAGTACATTTGTCTTCAATCCTCTAGCTGTGATCCATGAAATTAATAATTTTATTCAGTAGTACTAGTTATATGTCCTAGAATCATATGTTTAGCTTTGATCCATGAAGCTAATAATTTAAATCAGAGTTACGACTTTGGTTTCCATTCATTCTCCAATAGTATAGTTGTGTTCCATAGAGCTACTTATTTAAGTCAATAGTACTATACTGGTTCCAATGAAAATCTTGCTGTGTTTCTCAAGGAACTAAAAGAATTGACAAGTTTCTGAGCCACACCCTTTGGTTTAATGAGCCAGATTTCTTTGAAAGGATCAAAATGAATAGATAGAACAAGAACTACTTGATGTGAAAGAACAGAACCCCACAAATGATCCATAAGTCAAAGAAGAATCTTCTATGGAAGTGGCAACATTTAAAATTGAATCCAACAAAGCAAAGATGGAAATTTATTTTCTAGATTACTTCTCTTCTTGGAAAAAAATTCCGAAAATTGAAGCCTGGATATTGCATGCTAAGGATAGATTGCAAAACTTTGCAATTGCAACAGGAACAGTCAGGGAATGTTTGAAAAATGAGGCAAATTAGTATACAATTTTCAGCAAAATGCATGGGTTCAATGAGGCAAATTAGTGTACAATTTTTCAGCAAAATATATGGCTTTATTTCTGAACAATGAACAGAATAATCTGTTGGAGGGACACTTCTTGAATTTTGTCAAGAGATCACTGCCATTCAGGGAGACTTCCAGGCAATGTTCTATCAAGTGTTTGTTCCAGAGGTCGATAGAGACTTTCTCTCTTTTCTATGGTGGGAAAATCAGAACATAAAGTTTGACCCAAAAATGAATCCAGATGAAGGTGCATATCTTTGGTTTTACTTCTTCACCAACTTGTTGCAATTATAGTCTTTGAATTATATGGTAACAGAAAATATTCAGAACAACAAACCGTCTACAGTAAAAGCATTTCATTGAAGATGACTGTCTGAAATTGTTGAGTACAGACAAAGAAGCAGAGATATTTGTCAGAGAAATATCATTCCTCTTTCAGAATAGAGGTTCTCACTGGAACAAATGAATCAGCAATATGTATAAGTATTAGAGAGACTATTCCAAAACACGATTCTGGTTTATTGAGTTGAGATTGTGGACATTTATCAAAGGGCAACTAGCTATATGACAAGGAATTCTTTCCATTGTAAGCTCAGTGTATGATCCTCCTGGATAAGCATCTCCCATTTAAATGAGTGTCATGATCTTGTTACAAACGTAATGAAGGTTTGGAGTACATGGAGATGAGTTTGTTGAAGACTATAACAATTCTGAGAAAGCTGTAATAAGAGTGAAGTTAGCCATGGTTGTTTCAGAGAAGCTGGATCAAGTGTGAGTACATTTAAATACATAGACAGCACAAGTTTGCAATTTCTAACATTTCTCTCAAATCCCTTGTTTAATTCATGAAGTTTCCAATTTGAATTAGTAGAACTAGGTTTGTTCCAATACAGTTGTCTCCTATTGCATAGCTTTGAGCTGTTAAGATACTAATTTGAATCAGTAGTATTCTGTTTATTCCAGTACATTTGTTTCCAATCTCAATGCTGTGTTCCGTGAAGTTACTAATTTGAACCTGTAGTATTATTCTGGTTTCAGTACATTTGTCTTCAATCCTCTAGCTGTGATCCATGAAATTAATAATTTTATTCAGTGTTACTAGTCCTATGTCCTAGAATCATATGTTAAGCTTTGATCCATGAAGCTAAATAATTATGTTCCCCAAACGAAGTTGGGGAACATATTGGTTTTACTCTGTTTCTTCTTATTATTATTAAGGTCTTCCGTCTCCAACGGAAGACCTTCTTGTTATTCTTCGGTTTCTTTTTACCTATTATTATTATTATTCTTACCAATTTTGTGCACGCGATTTCTCGTAAACTACTGGGCCGATTCTCATGAGACTTTCACATCTGATAGGTACTGATCTGAACCTTATTGGAAATTTTTTTTGTTGATGACGTCACTTCCGGTCGTGAGTTATCTACAATTTCCTGATTTTAAAATGCAATTTTGTCTGAACTTAGTAGCGAAAACTGCTTAAGATATGAACAGGAGACTTATTTGAGATGACAGTTCATGACTTATAGCTTTGCAG